GGAGAGGGAGAGAGAAGAGAATCAATGCAATCCGCTCCCGCCGTCCGACCCCCATCCGTCCTACCTAATGCCACCTACCCACCCAGAAACTCTATGAAAATACTATATAACAACAATGCTGTCTGCCTGTCTGCCTGCCTGCCGGAATGTACTTCAAGCACTGCCTATTTATCCATCCGCCCATGCATATGCTAGGTATACCAGAAATGAACTCAAAACCAGCCCAGTCCAAGAATGCACCATACGAACCTCCAGGACTACTGCCCTGCCTTTGCCTGCTTCATCACGCCGCATCTACCTATGCCCGACGAGGAGTATCTCGTCCTCTTCGTCTTCGCCTTCCTCTTCCTCCTCCTCTTCTTCGCTCTCCTCCTCTTCTTCCTCTTCATCAGCCTCTTCCCCGCCAGAAGCAAGAGGGCTACTCCAATCCCTGCTACGGTCATGATGGTCAAATACGCCGAATAGAGTCAGCGGATCCTCGTCTTCCTCTTCCTCTTCTTCTTCCTCTTCGTCCTCATTCTCTGGTGGGTCGTTCGTAGGTAACGGAGTTGGTGAGGAAGCAGATACTGCCTTTGCGGTAGTTGAAGCTGGCAATGCAGCCGATGACGCTTCCGTAGTAGATGCCGGAGGGGAAGGCGGATCAGCAGCTGCGTTTGAGGACGAGGAAGAAAAGGGCTGCATCGACTGCAACAGCCGCAAGAGGAAAGCCGGAGAGTAGGAAGAGGACGGAGATGTAGACAGTGGGGTAGCCTCCGACTGCTGCGACTGCCTCTGCTCGCGCTCACGAGCAGCAGCCCTCTGTTGCCTCCGTAGTTCCCTTAGAATGACCTCCGGGTCGAGGGCGACGGGCTGCTGATGCGAGGAAGAAGTTTCCTGCTGTCGCTGCCGATCGTGCTCGCTCCAGGAACCCGGCATGTTGAGCAGCTGTAATTGCGTCGTGTTGTACGAGTTGCAAACAGCGCACTTGAGGCCGAGCCAATGGTAAGGGGTTTGGCTCTTGGCCGAGCAGTCGTTGCACGAGATGACGGCGCGAGCGTCGCGGTATTCGGGAGGCATGGGCTGGGTCAGGATGGCGAGGTCAAAGTTGCGGAACTTGGTCTCCATATTGACACAGGTCTTGTTGCACAGCGGGCACTTGTACGAAGTCTTCTTGTGCTCCTCCAGGCAATGCCTGTGGATCGAGTGGCCACATTCCATGCAGACAACAGGTTTAGGCGAGTTGAAGAGATACTCACCGCAGATGGGACAGTCGCAATCTTTGGACCGCTCGATGCACTTGTGGTTGGTGGCGGACATGGAGATGCAAGCCATGCATCTTTTGCAGTGGAAGAAGTCCTTCCCTAAACCCCGGCCGACACGGCAAATTCCACAGTCAGAGCAGTGGTATATGGGCTTGTTCGGGTCATTGTTCCAGAGCTTGCAGATACCGCAGTAGTATTGTGCTGCCGAGCGACCGCAACGGACGCACGAGTCCGAGACCTTTTGGGCACAGCCACAGAACATACAAAGCATGTGCTTCGTTTGGTGGCGCGGAAGGACGTGATCTTCGGCTTCGTCATGGCAGAAGCGACAGGTGTACCAGCGCTCGCAGGTAGCACACTGCATCTTGACATTGCGGCGGTAGTGTTTGCAGCCAAGATAGCGTAGCGGCTCTGTGTCCAGGTCATCTCCTCCGTGGAGGATATCCAAGTCCCATTCGGCGCTGTCAGGAGGGGGAGTCGGAGCATAGGTCGGCCGAAGATCGTCATCTGTTAGAGGGACATTGAGCTCAGCCGGCTCCGCAAAGGAATTCAAAAATCTGAGGGCCTGTTGTAGTGGCCCTGCTGATTTTTGTTCTGAAGGAGCAGGCGAAGTGCCCAATATGCTTTTCCCTGGTGACAATGGAGATTCGGGCCTCATGGTAGCCAGAGAAGCGCCCGACAGCTTCTTCTGGGACTTGTTGTACTTCTCCATCAGCAGTTCGTGCAGCATGCGAGCCTTTACCTCCTGTGGCGCATCAGTTGCCTGGATGGCATGTATCCTGCGGCGCAGGTCACCCATGCCATCGTCTTCCGGGAGAGGGTCCCTTCGGGCAGTTTCGCTCAGAGTCCATGACTCCCGGGCAACTTGGCTTGCTGGAGTGGTTTCAGACTGCGGCAATGCAGAGCTGGAGGTAGGGGGAGCAGAAGATGTGCTTGGTTGCTGGACTGAGTCTGGGCTAGTAGTGTCGGTGTCCGATGCAGCAGCTGTGATGTCGTCTTGAGTGAGTCGAGCCGAGTCGGACCAGGCGGTAACGGATGCAACCCGGGTTGGCGGCGGATCACGGGAGGATGCGTGGGCACCAGCATTTACTGGCGCGCCTGTCACATCCGAACACCCTCCATCCTCGCTGTCTTCCAGAATGACATTAGTACTTGGATTGCCAGCAACAGCAGAGCCTCTATTTGACGACGACGATACGGGCCGCGGGCATTGTTGCTGCTCCTGTGAGTCCTGTCCCTGCTGCCGGGTCCTCGTGTCGTCGGAACCAAAGCCCGAAGAAAATCGACGGGCTTGTCGCAGAACCGGACTAATGATGAACTCAGAGACTAAAGAGGACATCGCAAAGCATGGGCGCTGGCTCAGGAGGGCAAGGCGTGCAGAACAGGAACAATGTTGCTTCGCTTGCAAATTTGGCTGCAGCCTGGATCAGGTTGGGAGTCAACGTCGAATGATGTTGTTTGATTGTTTGCAGAAACCTTGAAACCGGGGTCGGCTGCCGCCAAGGCAACGGCGCCGACTGCAGTGAGGTGCGCCAAGACCAACAGCACATGCTTGTTTCACAAAGTGGGGTTTCATCGTTCAGTCTGCCGCGGGGACCGGAACCAGAGGGCCAGCCTCGTAAATTACAGGCACAATACGAATAATACATAGAACGCTGTTATTTTACGTCCTTGATCGCGGACAACGCTCGTGATGACATCGCTGCAAGCTATCTAGGTAAAGGATACTCATCATGGTGTATCAACTATGAAGACCCGTTTATTCAAACACTTGGTGTTACAGTAGCGGTAACGATATCAAAACTACGAACTTTATATTGCAGTCATTTTCTTTTGTACATGCGCCAGGTCCAGATCAGTCGTCCAGAAGAGACGTTTTGAAAGACCCCTCTGCTCCTGGGAAACACTTTTCTGTCTCTTAAATTCGCTCACGGAGTACTTTGCCATTGTGCTGTTCAGGCACATATGAGCTGTGGTAGATGCACCTCCTTTGAATCGTTTTGGTTCGTTTGTTTCGAGTTTGTCTTTCATCGCTGCAGCAGTTTTGCTGCAGGGCTCACTGCTCAAGCCTTTTTCCATTCACCGATTGGGCTATATCTCACTGTGTCTCTTTCCAGTCATTAGGATAATGGCCTGTGGGATATATCATTTGTCTAAAACACATAGGATTCCAGTATCAGAGAAGGGCAGTTTCTCACAGCCCACATCTTTCCCTGGTTTCTTCTCTTTTCCCCTCACCTCCAGTCACCCGGATAACAGTTTTCAATCCCAAATGATCCATCACCCATTGCCTCTTCAGTTCGGGCACCATCATCATCAAGGAGTCAGCTTCCTCCTTCAATTTAACAACACATCCATCCCAAACCTCCCAAATTGGACCACCTCCATTTTCACCCTAACCGGGCCCTCGACTTCTGTTCTTCCTTTTGACAACAAAACAGTATCTTACCCATCCTACTCAACCAAAATTCCTCTCTCTGCGGGCTCTTAGCCATCTGTCTCCACATCATGCCCTCCACGGCTCCTTCAACTTCTCCCGTCACTAAATGCGCATTATTTAGCCCATTCTCCGCTGGCAACGTCCGGTCAAAGTCTTGGATGGCATTCATATCCCCTGTCTGAACCCCAACATCCACATCCTCGTCCCGAAGATAGCGTGCTGCGAGTGCGAGCTGCGCTGGTCGGTGTGGCGGATTAGTTTGCAGTGACTCCAGATGAGTCGTCCCCAGGCACAAGGTCCGGCCGTAGGGGAGAGAGATGTCTGCAAAGAACACGTTGCGGCCCATCTGCGTCTTTGTGTAGTGGATGCGCAAGACTCGTTTAAGGGGGAATGTGTGGGATATCAGCATCGTTGTGCCTAACAATGATGTTAGTGTCGGTTTTAATGGAGGAGGATGTAGAGAGTAGGTTTGTGGTGTGGGTCAGGGACGCTGGACTTACCTTAATGTGCTCTCCAATTCTTCGGCAATCTATCTGTGATGTAGTACCCGCTCCTCACCCAGTCGGTATCCTTTATCAGCTCCAGATCCGATGCGATCATCTCGTTGAGCATTATGGTGTTCGGCATGTTCTGAACCTGCTGCTCAGACACCAACGTTCCCAAGTGCTCAGCGCTGCCTGCATTCGTGCCCGTGGCAGGGATCTCAAAGTCAATGTCCCATGAATACACGGAGAACTCAAACTCCTTGGCCGGCTCTCGCCCTGCAGGCTTCATTGTTCCTTGGGCCGTCACATCTTGTTATTTGCCGTTGATGAAGGTAGAGTACCCTTCATCAATTGTCTGGTCGTTCTTGTTAGAAGGAGTTTAAAAAGGCCCGGAAAAGGAGCATGCTGGTTGTGTATGGTGGGAATAGAGTTTAAAACGAATCAGCTATGACACCTCTCCAGCCGTCAGGGTCAAAGACCCTAATACAACTCTTGCGATGGAACGGCCAACGGGCAGGCATATACCCATGTTTCATGTGCTGCCCTTTTTGAAACTGCGACGCGTCAATGCAAAGCTTCTAACCATTAATATAAGAGATTTGAAAAACTCAGTAAGCCTTGGGAGGTGCCTACCTAGGTAGTCGTCAGTTGAGAACAGGAGGCCTCAGTTATACTTTAAGCAGCAGTTTACCCACCAATGGAAACTACCTGTTCTTAGATAATATATGGTTCTTAGATAATATATGGAAACAAACCGGTATCTTCATTTTGCCTTCAATCCTTGCGTAGACTCTGCGGAAAGATGTTTTCGAACAATGTCCTCGTGAATGATGACAGAGACACTAAAAGTTGCCACATCTCTTCCTGAAGCTCAGCTGGGGACCTAATCTCGTTCAATGGTTCGTTTAACTTCTCCATTGAAGTAGAAAGCTGATTCAAACCAACTCTTAGCCGTTGAATCTATGATGATCTAAGAGGAAAAACAACGAGTAGGTAGTCCTTGTACAGGATACCTACAGTTTGGATTCACCAGTTCCACAGTGGACAGTGGCTAAAGATTGGCTATGTCAGGCAGCTTCCTCTGGCCCCAATAAAGCATGACATTCAATCCCGGTATATTAAATTCAGAAGGTCAGTGAATAGCTTCTGTATTCTCATAAAGTCGTGTATTATTGTCCCCTTCAAAAACCCGCCCTCTTTATCCGGTTCATAACCCTGGAAAAAAGGAGCCCTGATGCTCTTTGTTTAGGATGAAGCCCTGGAGCGTCTTTCGGTCTTGATGCATTGAAGGTTTGTTACTCGCGAAGCTATGTGTGTGTGGCTTTTGTGCTTTTCTTCTCATCTTACCATGGTTGATACCTCTTGGAAGAGTGTTATGATCTGACTCCTAACTTCTTTACGTTAGCTCCGTTATGAGCCCTTCATGATAGTCATCATATTATCAATTCGCCTATCCTTCTCAGATAGCGGTTCTGAGTGAATTCTCATGTTAAAATGACGAGAATCAGCTGTGAGTGACTAGAACAAGTGTGACAGAAGACTTCACAGGTTCATTAGCATCAAAGGTATCTTCTGCTAGTGGACAAAGTCTCATGGACAGACTACACAGCTTGACCCAAGTAAGCAACCCCTTACTGCCGTGCCTATCCGGCAAGCATCAACGCAGTATATCCCGCACCCTGAGCACGTGTGACAACATGAGGTTTTGCAAATTTAATGTCCATGGCATGTCAAGCTTATAGTTTACTTCAACCCTCGGGTAAAAACTATGTCAAATTCATTCCACCAAGGATCAACCTGTGATGTCTAGATATTCTTGCAGCTGATGGACTGCTTACGGTCCAGGCAAGCAGTCCAGACCGGTGCTGCATATGACCATCACCTCTCTTCACAGATGGCTCCCAAGCCGCACTTCTGTGATAGGACTCCTATGACAGCTGCTTTCATTTTTCCACGTAGGGCCACAACCTGAACTGCTCAAGCGAGCGATTGGAGAGATATTCTTGCTTTGTTCAGCAACTCCAGCCATCCTTCCATCATCACCCAAAAGAAGCACATCTTTAAACATTGTGGCGACCTAATTAGCTCCTGGACAGCTCACTTACAAGATGCTCCTCCGTTACATTGTACTGCTTGGTGTCTTGACCACTTTCATCTATTTACTGAGTCATGCCGTAGCACAAATCCTTCGGGACAATTTCCTGGGACAAATGTATGAATGGATCTCAAGCTCATCAGCCCTGCAGCGAGGAAGTTGCAAAAGACCATTTGGACACAATTCTCTCCACTCCAGGGTCAGCTATCCATGAGCTAGGTGTGCCGATCAAATATCTCAATGTCTTTGATGAACCCATCCTGTTATGCCACATCAACAATGCAGTCATCGAACAGGGAAAAGCCCAACTCCAAACTTGGTCTGGACCGAGTGCTCGATGTTCCAATCCTGGTGATAATAGTCATGATGAACTCTCTGCGTTGTACATCAACTGTCCTACAGCAGGGGTGATTCCGGCCTTGAGCACTCTTGGTGTAACAAGACAGCAGCCACGGCTTTTCCCGCGGTTGTACGAAAACGGCTGATGGCAGGCAGAGACTCGAGGACTTGCAGGTGTCACCATGCCGGTAGATGCTGCAGTGTTGACCCGTTACATGGACAAAAAAACCCATTTGTTCTGTTTCCTTCAACTGGCAAATGGCAGAGAGAGGTAGTGCACCATCTTTGTGCAGATTAGCCAGCCTAGTGGCCCTATGTCTGCAAAACATGCTTCCACTCCGGTAAGAAAGTTTAGCTGTAGCTCAGGGGGGTTCCTTCAGAAACTAGTGGACACGTAGACAGCCCGGCCTGAATGACAGCATATGCTTACATGCCCTACAGACACGCCATGCTAGCAAGAATCGCAAAGACAGCATATCATATGGACCTCAGTTACCATGTGTTGCTCATAAGGGGAGTGAATCCAACAGGGAGTTCAGAGTAGCAGGCACAAGAGGGCAAGACTCTGTTGTTTCAAGAGGTCGCCCATCATCTTATTGTGGCACAAGTTGTTTTACTTCAGGGTGACTGGTCCATTGGATTGCTGCAATCATTCAGTGTACCTCCTCTAGATTCATCTGCTGACTGATTGTTGAAATGTGCGAAAGGATACGTATCTAAGGTTGCCAAACAGCTGGGTGCCCAACCCGACCCAGATATTCGCCCGGTGGTTGGCTGCTAAGTGGACAGAGCTGAAACATAGAGCAGCAAAATCTTGGCGTGCAACGTGGTTAGATATGGCCAACAAGATCCGTCTCACTAGATTTGGTGAGGGACTGGCCAAAGGCGGAGGGATTGGTGAGATGAAAACTCATTTCTCAGTGCACATGTGCAGTAGTTTGCTCTGTCTAGCGGCTGGGACTCGGATCGGCGGATGACACCGGGAGTGAGTAGATTCGGCCATATTGTGTATTCTGAACGAAGCGGGGCACAATTCATGCCGACGATCAAAAGTACAAATTGCCTTTGCTCACCGACAAGATGCCGGGCACCGGATACGGGCGAATCATCAAAGACATGCACCCGGTAGGTACATAGTTGTGCACAAACTAATGCAATGCCTTTCGACCCGACCAGCATAATTAGAAGCACTAGAAGTGCTAAAAGCATAACTTATGCGGCCTTGCACAAGACAGGCGGGCCAACTGGGGACACGGGCCTCAGAAGTTGGGCCAAGCTGTCCGTGCCGGAGAGAAGAAGTGGAACGTCCGGGACGGGCGGAATGGCGGCCGAGAGGTGGAATGTCTCAGACTTGGCCCGAAACGGCCGGCCAACCACGGTGCTGGTGGGCCCCGCCTTTTTGTGGCACCATGCCAGAGACGATGACGGAGCGATTCTGGCCAAAAAGTTTGGTTGCTGGGCTCATACCGACTCCTCGGATTCGTTGTGCTTGACGCCGTGCCAGACGAGGGTGGAGTCTTCGGGCTTCCATGCAGCTCAGCGAGTCACTCGGAACATCTAATTGCTTCGGCGGAGGAATCTGAAGCATGCCGCATTGGGCTGGCACCGGGCGGGGCGGCAGCAAGGCGGCTGACACGTTGGCGGGCACCAAAGCTACCCCAGCAACCGGCCCGGGGCGTTGGCACTGCAGGCCCGGACGGCTGCTGAGCTGGTCCGCTAATTGCTGCCGCCTTACAGCAGGCCAGCCAGGGGCACCCGAGGGGCCGAGTCCCGAGTGTCCCCGACCCTGGGGCAGTCAGAGCATCAACGCCCAGCTCTTGTGTACGGATCTGTAGGAAGCACAGGGAGTAGATGTCTAGACTGACACCTGCGTGGCTGCTTCCCAGCACGTTGTATCCATCATCAGCAGTTGCAGCAAACAGTCATGAGATAGGACATGGAGGAAGCTGGAAAACGTTTTTTAGTGGAGCCTCGCATCGTCTAATCTCGTCCTCGCTTCGCGGCATCATCACGTCAGGCCCGACAAGACCCGACATGTCTGTCATACCTGTTCCGCAAAACAAGGACAAGTCGCGATGGCCGAGTACGACAACACGAAAAAAAATGATAAAAATTTCTCTCAAGACCCATGGCGATCAGAATCGGAAACATCAAGCCATGACGGCATTGTGCGGCCCAGAATGACAACTGGCCAATGCTGCCGGGCACTTCGATCCGTTTCTGGTTTGTCAAGGGCCAAGGATTGAACTGAAGTCGTAAGTTGGGTTGTTATGGGCCAATGAATCCCGCTTCTGTCCTTTGTTCAGACTTCATGCTGTGCCCGACAATAGCTTGACGGAGAACGGCGCAGCCCAGCACGTCATCGGCGGAGGGCAGCTTCCGATGCAGTTGATCCATTCTTCAGCTTTCTTTGGACAAGGCCGAAAGGTGAAACCGCATCAAGCAAAGATTTGAGAATTTTCCTGTGGCACCGGAAGTTGCCTGCCCCATCATCAGGGATACTGTCAACGGTACGTATTGTCGACTTCAACTAACTTTATGCATGGCTGACAGGCACATCTCGAGCCACATCAGAAAGATGTTCACAAATTTGCATTCTAATTTGTGCTGTGGGGTGCATCACCCGGGCTGATATATTGGGGAGATTGATCCTATCCATTGGATCTGATGGAGATTCAAACCCAACCAAATTATCCGATCCGATAAGGATGTGGGACGTAAAGGACCCATTTATCTCATTTTAACCAACCACAGAGTCTGTATTGCTTATATAATGAGACCAGCACGGGCAGTCTCGAAACCGTTCCTCAAATCTGGTCCTCAATATGATTGGTTCTCAGATTGACAATCATCCATGGCTATGGGGTGAAAACGGAGATTTGCATTTTTTCTGCAATTGCCGAGACATCACTTACGGCCTGTCGACATCTTTCGTGCATGCTCGGCGCGATATTGCGTTTTGTTGTCAACAGCCAGCAAGCTTCAATCGCCAAGCTGTACACAGGTTTGTTGTGCTGATGGAGGATCTGGTCCAAAAGGGCGTTAGAGCAACCCCTGGGCGATGATGCGATTTCAAGAGGGGCCCGCAACCGGTCCCACTGCGGGATCGCCGTCTGCACCCTGCCGGGCTGGGATCTTGGCTCACTTTTGCAACGCCCAAGGCTGACGTGTTGGATGACATGGGATAAAATTTTCTAGTTGGGCAGTGAGTCAAACCGCCTGGCTGTGAAAACCTTTTCTCGACCATCGAACCTAATGAATTTCAAGGGATCATTTCATTAGGCATTTTTGACGACCTCGTGAATATTTTACTATTAATTCTGTTTGCCGACATCCGATTGGCATGTAAAAAAGGTGTTCAATCTATGCATTCAGACAGCGGAGGTTGCCGAGCCCCGCCGCCGATAAACATCCTTCTAGAACCCACTTCCCCAAGACAGGGCCAAGACACTTGATACGTTCACAAGACCAGCAAATATCCTCGTGACGGCACTGCACTAGAATAGCGTTTAGTGTACTCTAGAAAGCCGGAAACAAGTATTCCTTTCCCGAAATTCTTGGCGTTGGTGAGCTTGCGAGTCGAAGTCTTATTGCACAACGCCATCGTATTCTCGGTAGCACGGCGTGTTGGATGTCCGATCTCGGATCCCTCTAATAAGCGTCAAGACGCCATTTCATTGATACTCGTAGATTGAGCACACAATATGCACGGCAACACTGTTGTGCTTACCAACAGCGGCTTCCTTGGACACGATCTTAGATCCTGGAATAACACGTAAGGTTTCGCAGAGGTGGGGTGAAGGTGGGTAGTTAATCGTCGACGGCCCTTTGGGCTACCAACCATCAAGGTTCTAGATCGGCCATGAAGGTCATTGAAATGGGAGTCCTTTCCGCGTCGCTTGGTGGTGTTAAAAGACTTGCAAGGTTGCAAATGGCCCATCTGTGCTCCTTGGCGTGTCCGCAGAAACCTGTAACCTCTAGTTCTATAATGTTTCAGCTTGAGGAAGTACACATCTGTAAGAAGTTTACATGACAGCTTTCGGTGACGTTCACAAAGCTGATCTGACTCAGTGATGAGACTGATAAGCTGTCAGTTGATAACGGTACCCGAAAACTGAAACATGAAAGTATCAGTCTGCCCCAGCTTTTGGGCAGGATATTCGAAGGTTCTGTTTCTCTAAAACATTCATGCGAATTGTGAATACTCCACAGATCGCCTGGAGAGCTTTGAATTTCAAACTTCAAGAACTACAGGCAACCATAGACCAAAGTGTTTTGCGCGCGACTTCCGCTGAGCTTAGACGAGCAAGAAGTCTGGTTTGTCAACGGCTTGTCTGCATCAAGAACCAACAACAACCCACTTATATCCCATTCCTCCCTTAACTCTCCCTGCCTGCGCCATATAGGAGCGTGTCTGTAACGTTCAAGCGAAAGCAACCGGTTTCGAATCTAGTCTTCCCGTCATTCTCTTACGGCAGAGCCTGCGACCGGCCAGTTTGAGGAGAGTGTAAGCTGGCCGTACCATATGCAAGCCTGCAAGGCGGGACGGGTCGATCATTTGCAAGGTATTTGCAGATAGGCGCGCGGGTAAAAGAAACGATATCAACAACAAAGGGTGTATATGCTGCATCCTGACGAAATAGTAAACATTCACATCTTTTTGTCCATCTACTGACCTGCTTTTCCCATCTCACCCGCCGCATTAGCCTTACCCCGCACACGGAGAGCTGCATCTGCTTTGGTTTTCTGACCAAGATTGTGCCGCTCCCCTGCTTTGCTGTCGGGCTTGTTCGACCCCTAATGCTATTGCTTGCATCATCCATCTATCCCGTAGCCAAGATGTTCTATGTTTTGAAAAGTCGGGAGGGAGGGAAATGAATAAAGCACCACTGAGCTATTGTCGTGGGATCCTGACTTTTCCGTAGACCTTGTTATTGTTTCAGCGCGCGACTTAGCGGACTGTGAGGTGACGATGGCATCAGCGTGCCCAGAACATCCGACGGAGGAAACCAATAGGTAATCAAAAATTTATTCTCCAAATTCTCCGGAGTTCCCATGAGGGGCTGTTGAAATTGTGTTTCTGTTGTCCAAGCTGGACCGAATTCATGGCCTCAAGGAGACCAAGATTCACTCTGAAAGGCCATTTGCGCGGAGCATGTTCGACTGTGCTCTGGGGAAGGCCAAAGGGGGTGTCCACATTGATGACGGAATAGCACTGCTTGTCACGAGTGGCAACGGGACTCGGCCGACTCTCCTGTGGAAGAATTTCGGAGAATGATGTTAACCCCTTTGTTCTCGGGATGTCTCCGAACTGCCGGGTCAGGAGGATAGGTAACAAAGCTTTGACATAACATCATCGTCATTTTTGCCCCTATCGAACGGGGCGTTGGGACCGTGCCTTTCCCGTCATCTACCAAAAATTTATCACAATCGTCGGGGAGATGTCAGATTCCATGCTCGACCTGCATCGACACCTGTGGCAGTGGTGAGCTGATATCCCGCCGCTTATGCGCTGAGCTCGGGCTGGTCTGGAACTTGGGGAAAGCTTTCTCGAGCCGGTGTCAGTCCTATCAACCTCGTACACACACCCCATCCTCATAAGTGGGTGGAGATGAATCTGCCAAGTTGAAAGGACCATCCCGTCAACTGATCCCAAGGCGAAACGCTCTCGACATCAGGCGGACAATGCTCGTCGTTGTTGCTCTCCGCTTGCCCCAGCTTGTGCTCTTCTGTCGCTAAGGTTCGAATTGGTTATATCTTCTGCCATGATTGGTCGAATGAGTCGAAACCAGGTGATAGTCGGATACTGGAGTTTTGCACTATCCCAAGAGAAAAACTCTTTGGCAAGTGCCACGAGGGAGCGTTGGGTAGTTCTCATTGGCTGATGTTGAGTTCACGAACAGAATCCATTTCTTGCCTCTCTGGAGCCTAGCCCATCTCCATCGCGTTGGCAAATGTCCGCTTGTCAGGAGCCAGCAGAAAATAGAAACAAGGCCAATATTCCAGGTGTGCGTAGCGCAGGAACGTGGCGTAGGTCTTGTCCCAGAGTGGTTTTTCTTACGGGAGAGGCTCCATTGACAAGATCCTCAAAACCAGCTGACATTTGTTCAGGAGTATCCACTTACGTGGTTCGGGTGATTGCTGTGGAGGAAATTCCTGAGGTTACTGATGGATCCCATCATGACGTGGTGCGCTTCGTCCAGCTGACCGCCTGCGGCACAGAGGCTCCAGGCTTTTCAGCTTCAGGGTCATGGGCTTGGGGTATGCGGGACTGAAGCGAAGTGAAAAACAATCTTAATGCAGGCAAGGCATCTTAGTGCTGCAAGAATTAGTGCATTAAGCACAAGTATGACTTGGAAAGAACGAGAGCATCTTCCGGTTCTTTGTTTTTTAAAAAGAAAATTTGTAATAAAGAGTGGAAACAGATACAGCACGTTCAGGAAATATTGCTTTGCTTTAGAAGAGCTCATGAGTTGTCTGTGACCTTTGAATCCAATTGGTCTGGTTAACTGCCACAAACGGGAAATGCTCCCATGTCAAAGATTCTGTTGAACACCAGCAGCCTGACAGGTTTTTGCTGCCGGTTGGGCTCTGCTGCGGCACCAGAACCTGAAAGGCTAGAATGCTGTGCCGGATTGGTGGTCTCACAGTGGCTGGATACATCATCGATGCGCAGAAAACTTCCCAGAACTCTGCCTGGCAAAAGCTGAGCCAAACACCTTATGAAAAGAAGCATGCCACTACGATTAGAAAAACAACATCACTCATCACTGACAAGCAAGTGTGGAAAACCATGAAGTGGATTGGAAACAATTCAATTGATCATTGCCAATCGCTTTGGCCAGTATTGTCCGCCAATAAACTGCGCTCTCCGATATCCAACGAGCCTGAGCAGCCCCAAAGCCCAACTTTCCGGAGAAACTCCTACCATGACATGATCAAGTTCCCAATCCAACCTACTGATGACGCCGCGGCCATGGGCCTAAAACGCCGTCCCAGTAATCTTGGCCCGATGCCAAACCGGACCAGACAATTTGTGAATGTACCAGATCTCCTGCCCAACACCGTCGGTTCCCGTAGATTTAGACCCAATCCCTTAAATGCGCAAAAACACAAATCCATCCACGAGGTGTATCGCTGCCTAGTACACGGTATCACCCGAAGACCTAGAAATCCCTTGACCGAAAACCAGAGGACGCCGCCAATCCCAATTGCCCATTTTTTTATAATGCTGTGCTCCAATGTATGCATTTTTTGATTCAAAACCGTCAGATGAGAAATGAGATATAAAAAAAGACGAATGACCAAAGATGAGTCGTGTTTTATGTGTCGATTAGATTGAGAGTGCATGGTATTGTTCGTCTAGTACGACCTCCGACGCTGAAGCCGAACGGATTCGAAGGAATGGGCGTAGGCCCGAAGCTCCCGAGCCGCGTTTTCAGACAGCTGTTGCTGAGCGTCGAGTCCGGCGGAAGAACTGCTGCGAATAGAGCAGAGGCTAGAGTGTGACGCCGATGGCGAGAGGGTCGGGTACCCCGTGGAACCCCTCCGAGAGGTGCTGGGCTGGAAGTCGTAGGCAGGAGACAGGTAGAGCTTGTTGCTCGTCGATGACGGACTGGAGAAGGTCCAGTTGAAGGCAGGACTGCTCGGCGCTGGGGAGCTGGCACTCGAGCTTGGGGTCGACGGTGACGACTTGTCATAGTCAGCCAAGCGGCACTTTTCAGAGCAGTAAGCAGCCCCGTCAGTCATCCGGTCGCAGCCGAGGCAGTACTGGTTGTCCCAATCGAACGACATTGTAGCTGTTTTGCAAAGTGTATGTGTGCGGGAGAGAGTGTGTTGTTCAGAAGTGGCGGTCAACAGAGGTGACTCGAGTTTGAGTGTTGATAATATGGCTGCCCCGGTATCTGTAGAGTGTTGAGCAAATGTTCGAAGTCCGGATGTTATAACACTTTAAATCTTGATCGTAGTGTGTGCCTGGTTGTTGCAGCTGTCACGTAAGTGCTTAGTCTGGCGTGGTGTTGAGATGAAAGACTGAGGGAGAGCGTTGGAAAAGCGGCCGACTATTATAATAACACGATGGCTTGTTGACTCATAACAAAGGAGTTTCAAGACAGCACGCAATGGTGGAGAAGAAAGAGAAAGTGGTGTGAAAGGGTCAAACAATGAAGCTTATCCTAATGTTAAAGTGGGAATTGAAGCCAAGTGATGCTGGGGAGGCCTGGATTAAGTATCCTGGCGGTGCCTGCCGTTGCGGTTGCCAGCGAGAGCGGAAGCGGAGCAGTGCCATACCTATGACCACAAAGGACCCATAGCGCCCTGTCGACATCTGGCGCCATCGAGGTACAGGAACTACCAGGACCGGGGAGGTATTTTTGCGTACTGGTTTCTAGCACATGTACGAGCAAGCGATGTACCCGTGCACTCAGGCCCAGGCGGCAGGGGCATGTGGGGCAGCTCCTGCAATGGCCAGAGGCTGATCATCGCGCTATGCCCCTCTTGTCATAGCTCGCGAGCAGGGATAGTTGTCTATGTGCTGGAGTGCGAAAAAATTCTTTCCAGGGTGTGAGTATAGCATGGTTTTGTCGTGGCACCACCCTGGTCATTGCGAACCGGCGAGAGTGGAGAATCTTTGCTTGACGCCATCTTAGCACTCCTAGAGACCACTCTGGGCTTTCCCACAGGGGGGCGTGTTGCCGTTCGTGGACAAGACCCCACTCACTTGCTCACCGGACTCTCTTTTTCCCTCCCAGCAGCAGCAGCTCTCAGCATCCATGAGCAATCACGTACCTGACCTGCTTTATGTGCACGTTATGTGTGCTCCATGCCATTACAATATATCGTTGAGATGTCAAATCCGGAACTTTTCAACATTGCCTCTGTCGGATGTTTTCTGCATACAACAAGCAGGAATCCCTCCAGTTTGCAGATTAACTACCAAGGTGAACCACTGACGGAATTCCGATGGTGAGTGGGGGTTGCCATTGCTTCCAGTTGTTCTCCTGACCCTTAAGATATCGGCAACGTTCTGGTCCCATCATCAGTCCCATCCATGCCTTGAGATTGGGGGGATTGAATTGAGACACAGAACGGACAGACCACTTCGGTGCGAGTTTACATTGCGTTAGGCTCTCTGGCCCCAGCGATCAGGTATTTTGCCTTGTGTATTTCACCTTCTTCTGCCTGCGACCAAGAGCCAATGAAGATCGAACAGGCTTTCTTTCAGCAGCCTCTTACCGGGATCAGCAGGCACTGTTTCGCAAGATAAACATAGTTTCCAGACATTGAAAGCCTTTCATAGCAATATTACAGGTATGAAACAATTCTCACCCATCCAAAACGTCACTTGCTTGTCTCTGCATTGCTATGGTATCCACGAGCGGCTAGCAAGCGCTGCGCAAGATGCCTTGAACGGATCGAAAATCATTCTGCTCTTCCTGGGCATTCCGTATCTCCCGTCCATTGACCCCCACAGCCACCCACAGGGCCTTCGAGTACATAGTCAATGCACGGCGGTACGGCCTTTGGTTTTGCAAGGTGCCATCAAGATAACCCTCAAAGTAACTTCTTTGCAGTTATCTATTCAACAGTATCAACACTAGACCTACCGAACTTCCGTGGGCCTCGCAACTGCTGTGCGACGAGGGCATTCACTGAGGTAACAAAGCAGAAGTACTCGTCTACTTGTGAACAAAGTCCTGCCATTCAACTTGAGAAGTTGCCGAACGTCAGAACAATGAGTGAGGAACAGCAACCACTTGCGAGATCTCATTTTATTGGCTATTGAATTCTTCTAACAATTCGAACTGCGTGCCCTCGTTGATGGATTCTGTCCCTCGCGTCTAAATGGCAGAACTGCCTCTGTGGATGCTGCAGATCCCTCATTCTCCTGCAGCCAAGGACATCAGCTACCAACCAGCCTGGAATACTTGATTAAAGTAGTGCCAATCAAAGTTTGAGAAGGGCAAATTGCAGAAGGACGGCAGACAGCTGCAAAGGCAGAAAGCGTGCCTAGACGGCACGGAGGTGACATGCTCAATACCTACTCGTTCGTGAAAAGCCAGGAATCTGCCATTGCCCAATGTCAGGGCGAGTTGCAAGCCCGGAGTGCCGTTTTGGAGAGAAGGAACTGAAGATCGCTTTACCATATATTTTAGCAAGTGTTTACAATGACCTGCCTCGTGACTGTGTCCTTCATTGACGACATCACAGCTCTAGATCTTTCAGTGAGACATGATGCAGGGAGCCCGGTCGGCAAGGTGCCCAGTCACAAATGGCTCTTGTGAACCAAGCCGGGCACACCGATTTGCTATGGACAAAAGCTATGAGGAAAGAAAACGACTCGGCAAGATAGCTGATCGAGGTCTTGCACAACCAACACCAGGACAGCCATGAAATCAACATCCCCAAATCAGTAAATCTTCTTATCTTCCAAGCTGACTTCCTCTCGTCGATGTTGCGCTCCCCAGCCTTTCGTTGAGCTGTACCGTACAGATTCCATCACAAATTGCTGATTTGCACTGTCATCCTCGATGGGCAGCGCATACATATGTACGACACTCCCCTCTCTCCTTGCCCATCGCCCCCTTCCGTATCATCATCCTTCATGCGCTAAACCGCTTTCGAATATTCTTGCAGCAACCCATGTCCATATGGCAACGAATCACGACACGGCTGGGCAGGACGTTTCGTCAACGGCATGGGCGCCTTCTCACACGCCATTTCGAAGCTCTTCGGCAGCTGTTGCAGCTGGTGGTGTGTTTCCCAGACATGAGTGACGAATTGTGTCGTTGTGTAGCAACTTCCATAGGTAACACGGCAACTAGAACGACACCAATGATGTTAGCAGAGCTGAAGCATTGTGAAGCTGTGACCGCGAGCTTTCGTGGCACTGGCTCAAAGCCATTTGGCGTGATTTCCTGTTATCAGATATGCTATGATTCCCCTTGACTATCTCATTCCTCGCTCGATATCTCACAATTTCCTCAGAACCATCCAGTCTATGTATTGATATCAAATGTACTATAGCAAAGGACTATACAGTGTCAGGCAGGTACCCCAACTGAGTAATGTCTTCGGCGTTCGGCACCTCTACCATGATCTAAGCGGAGTCCTAGCAGGAAGTGCTCCTCTACATACCATTCATGCCCCATCCATTGCCATCCTTCTCGGCGCCCAACGTTTTCGCAGTGCACGAAGATAGGAGAGTGTGGTGTGGTGTAACCAGTGTTGCATCTTGCTCATCGACACGATCAGGCAGTGGACGCCAGGCAGTGCACCTTAGCCATTTCTCCAAAGCAGCTTCCGTTCCGCATCTGCCATCACCAGTGTCGACTCCGCTGTGGTGGCACGATTCGTTCCGGGCACGGTCGCGGCAGTTCCCTGACACTAAGCAGGCTACAGAATCATCAGGCTGCTTCTTGATGGAATCGTGCCAGAACGAAAATGGCAATCCACTTTGGATGCAACTTTCGCATTTCCCTTTGCCCACCGTCTATGCAGGCACTGGCCGTTGCTGCATCGCAGACGCCTTTGGAGCATCGGGAGAGCAGGGTCTTCGAACAAGCCGTGTGGAACCCTGCGGGAACCAAACTGGAAGCTTGGCGATTGGCTGAATTAGGTCTTGGAGGGTCCACTATGGCTCCGGCCTTGCCTAGTCGGGCTGGTCCGCTCATCAGTTATGGCCATTTTTCTGTTTTTTTCTCTTTGTTAAGCTCAAATTTTGTGGGGCGGAGCGGCGCCCTGCCTGTTCTGTGGCTGTCCGCACCCCGGATCGGCTTCACTGCCGAGCCCTGTCTTCATCTGGCGAAATTTTGTCGCGATCTCATCTTAAATCTCGTTCGAGATGTGGATGAACTTTAGGTCTGGACCAGTTCTGCCCTATCTATATCGCGAAATTGTGTGTCAGGATCCCATGAACGATATCATCTGAGATATATTTCAATGCTGACACCGATGCTGTTGTTCCTATCGCTGTCGTTACTGCCGTTGGCAGAAGAGCCGACATCGGGCATCCAACATTGAGCTTCCGTCTTTGCTTAGGACACAAGGCTGACCAGTTGGGCTATGGTTTTGACATCAACTGAAGGCCCCACTTCATGTGAGTGCTCCACAACACCACATTGAAATCATAGATCCGCATCTACGAAGGAATCGTAAAGGTCTCTTCTGAGTCAAGTCACGTTTATGAAGTCCTTCATATGGCTAGTAAGCAGTCAATGACTCCTGGCATATGAAGGATCATACTACTCCTTCATAAACAGCTCAGTCCCTACAGCCATGATGATTCAGGGACGTTTCTATAAAATTTAATCAGTACTTCAAAGACTGAAACCTGGATCCCTTATTTTCGGCATAGTATACCAAGGATGAGACCATGTCGAGACCTTTCTGCACCGGAAAAATGAAGAAATTGAAAAAGAGACTAAGCTTGAGTCAGGAACTATCATCAACGCGGTGGCTGGGAAGATGAAACAGCTTTGCACACGAGATTCGATTTCCAGTACCAGGCCTTCCAGCTGTCTATCTCCCTCATTTGTTCTCATATCGGCGATCTTAGCTGCAAGGAAGTCTCAACAGCAGTCTGTCTCAAAGCCGGTGTTCTTGTTGCACATACTGAACACACAACAGTGGTTCGTTAGTGACCGGCCTTCGCCAATTTATCATTGAAGTAATTGGCCTTCAGGTACTTTGTGTGACATGGTCGTGCCTGGCAACCTGCACAGTCCCCTTCTAAAAATCGCATCCTGGCGCGAGCACTGTACATTGTTTATGAGACTTGTTTTAAGGCTTAGAGT